ACTGAAAGCGACAATGCAACACCAAGCAGGTCCTCGGTGAGCGACGCGTTAGCCGCGGACGCCATGTCGGTCCTGCGTCTTGGTCCCTTATTTCTAGTCGGCGCGTTGTGTATTGAAGCGTTCTCGCATATTGGTGACGAGCAATCCAGATTCGTCTGGATCCCCGCCGCTGCAGCCGCGTTGTTGATCGTTGAATGGCTGGTGCTGCGTACAAAAGATGTCCCGCTTCGTTACGCTGGCCTGCTGCTCATTTTACCCTGGCTTGCAATTGTGATTGTCATGCTGCAGCACGTCAGTGTGGGTGTCATCCAGCCCACCATTGTATTCATGGCGATATCAATGATTGCCGTGGGGGCGCTGATGATGCCTCTGTGGCCGATGTTAGTCGCCCTCATCAGCAGTTCTGTAATTGTACTCTGGTTGGAGTTTGTGGTTGCGCAGGAAGAGGCTTCCGTTAGTCTCCTGGTGTTAGTCCTGACGCTGAGCGTCGCTACCCTGGTTTATCGCGTACGTCGTCGCGCCATAGTGAATGAAGTAGGACGTCGCGCGGCACAAACCGAATTAGCACTTCAGCGCTTAAAGGTTGCCAGTGCTGAACAGAAACTGGCGCTGTCGACAAATATGGCGGGTGGTATTGCGCACAAACTGAATAATGATCTGCAGACGATTGTCATCGGGTTGGAGAATGCATTGCGTCTTCTGCCAGAGCATCCGGCCGCGAAGCTGTTAAACCATGCGTTAGACAGTACTCAGAATGCTGCGGAACTGGTGAAGAAGTTACATATCCACACCGGCAAAATGAATTCAGAAAGTGAAACTTTCGACATCAAGCGGCTGTTAGATGAACCCATGCTGCGCGCCCAGCTGCCTGAAGACGCTGATTTGTTTCTGTCCTTTACCGGCTTGCCCATACAGTTGAACGGTAACTTTGAAGATTTAAGGACGACTGTTTTAGCGTTGGTACACAATGCAGGCCTGGCGCTGCCAGATGGTAGGGGCGCGGTCCTGGTGCGCGCAAGTGCAACGGGCGATGGCGTACGTATAGAAGTGAGTGATGATGGGGTGGGTATAGCTGAGGAAGACCTGCCGCGAGTGATGGAACCATTCTATACCAGCGAACCCATCGTTAGAGATGGTCTCGGGCTCGCCGTAGTAGATGGGGTCGTCAGACGGCACGGTGGCACTGTCTCGATACAGTCCGACAGAGAACGCGGTACACGTGTGAGTTTATTGTTGCCCAGATTGGCGTTAGAAAAAGACTAAGGAGAAGAATGTGGGGAGAGTAGAAGGCAAAGTAGTTGTCGTCACCGGTGCCGCATCGGGGTTGGGGTTTGCTGATGCACAACAACTGGTGGCAGAAGGTGCACATGTTGTTTTGACAGATATCGATGCCGAGCGTGGACAAGCGTGCGCGGACTCGTTAGGTGCGGCATTTCTGCAGCAGGACGTGGCAGATGAAGCCAGTTGGGATCGATTGATGAGTTTTGTTGAAGATCGATTCGGGCGTCTTGATGGCATGGTCAACAATGCGGGCATTGCACCCATTGCAGACATCGAAACCACCACAACTGATGTCTGGCGCAAAACCCTGGCGATTCACCTGGATGGCACCTTCTGGGGGTGCCAGAGCGCCATCAAACTGATGAAAAAAGGCAGCGGTGGTTCTATTGTGAACATGTCCTCAACCGCCGCGTTAGTGGGCATCCCGGCGTACCTGGCGTATTCGGCTGCTAAGGGTGGTATACGTTCAATGACCAAGGCGGTGGCGATTCACTGCCGGCAACAGAAGTTGGGGATTCGCTGTAATTCGGTACACCCGGGCAGTATCAGTACCCCCATGGTTCATCATGCGCTGAAAGAACTGGTGGGTGTTGATCTGCCGGCCCAGGAAGACCCGGAGGCAACCCGTTTAGCCATGGGTGTTGGCGAAGCCAATGATGTGGCACATATGATTGTCTATCTGATTTCAGATGAAGCCAAACACATTAACGGTGCAGAAATGGTCATCGACAACGGCGACACCGTCGTCTGACAAAAGGAGAGGACGTTCATGCATATTACTGCCATGGTCCATATCAACATCAATTGTCGGAACTTTGAAGCTTCCCGGGCATTTTACGAAATGCTGGGTTTTAAAGTTTTCTGGCCGGTACCACCAACCAATACAGAGGCGGTAAATCGTGCGGTAGGGATGCAGGACTACCGGGTCAATGGGGCCTTAATGTCATTAGAGGGTGCGAACCCGCCGATGGTCATCGATCTTCTTGAGTGGCAATCGCCACGGGATGATTCAGCCCCATACCCGAACCTGCATCGACCAGGGTTGGCGCGATTGGCCATGGCAAGCAGTGACCTTCAGGCCGATTACCAGTTTTTACTCGACAACGGGGTTGAGGTTCTATCCGAGCCAGCAACGGTCATGATCGATGAAGAACATGGCAGCAGCTTCTTCTGTTTTAAAGATCCCGACGGTACGTTTCTGGAGTTGGTGCAGAGCTTCTAGCGAAAATGGCTAACAAAAACAGTAGTGCGCCGGTGGCTGGCAAAACTCAGTCGATCAAAACCGTTGTGTTATTCACTGTAGGGCTGTCACTGCTGATTCCACCTATCGTTTTTTGCCTTGTGGCGCTGTCCAGCGGATTGAATCTCACGGAGACTACGACAGCCCTGATTGGGCAATTCAGTTCAAGAAAACAGAATTTATTGATTGTCGGGTTGTTGAGCCTTTTGCCGGTGGGCCTCATGTTGCTTGTTATCTGGCTGGTCAGCAAAATCAAACGGTTTACGATCGGCAAGCGCAATCTGGCTGTCGGCGGGGCATCTGGCATTCTCACTGTCGATGTCTGGATGAATGTTGAATATTGGCCTACGTTTCTTCCCCAGATGACTTATGCCGGTTTTCCTCATGGGCTCGAATTTGTTCTCGGGCCCATTTTTTATGCACCTGTGATGATGCTGGTGGGCATGGCGGCTGTGGCGCTGGCTAGGAAAAGAAAGCCGCTGCCATGAGAGCGATGCTTTGCGGCATTGCCGCAAAACTCGACAGAGCTCGCGCGGCGAGATCATGGTGCACCCGACAGGATTCGAACCTGTAATCCCCGGTTTCGTAGACCGGTGCCTTATCCAGTTTGGCCACGGGTGCAAGAGGGCGCGTATTATCTGGAAGAACGCGCCAGACCTCAACCTTTTATCGCATACGGTTTTCCGTTTCATTCCACATCTACTCGATCTCAGCCTGTTTTAGTGACAATCATTTTATCGATCTGCATGTCATCAATGGTGTAGGGAATGCCGCCTACACCCAGCCCGGAGTGTCGCAAGCCGGCAAAAGGCATGATGTCATCTCGAAATGCAGTGTGGTTGTTGATCATGATCGCTGATCCGTCCAACGCAGCAGCTATTGCAGTGGCACGGTCAATATCCTGGCTGAACACTGCGGCCTGGAAAGCAACCGGTAAGGCGTTGGCTTGATGGACAGCCTCTTCTACGCGGTTGTAGCCGTACACACACACAACCGGACCAAATATCTCTTCGCGGCTTACTTTGCTCTTAAAATCAGGGTTCACCAGCACTGTCGGCGCATACACACGATTGTTGACGCGGCTGCCACCGCAGGCGAGCGTTGCACCTTCATGCACGGCCTCCTGCACCCAACTTTCAACCCGGTCAACTTCGCCAGGTCTGATCAGGGGGCCGACGTCGGTGTTGGCGTCCATTGGATCGCCCACATTCAGTTGTTTGACCCCGGTAATCAGTTCGGTGACAAAATTGTCCAGCAAAGTGTTGGGCACATAAACCCGCTGAACCGACACACAAACCTGTCCGGCATGGTAGAAGCCACCTTTCAGAACCGCTGGCACAAGTTTCTGCAGAACAGCATCTTCGCAGGCAATCAGAGGTGCTGCGCCGCCATGTTCCAGCGCACAGCGTACCCCTGGCGCAAGTTGAGCGCGCAGTTGCCAACCTACGCGTGCGCTACCGATAAAGGAGAAAAAGCCCAGCCTGGGGTCGGTCACCAGGGATTGCGCCACACCGTTATCGGCGATCAAAGCCTGGCACCATCCTGCTGGAAGTCCTGCTTCGATAAGCACGTCCACCAGAGCCAGAGCACTCAATGGCGTATCCAGAGCGGGTTTGATAATCACCGGACAGCCAGCAGCAACAGCAGGTCCAACCTGGTGAACGATGAGGTTTAAAGGGTGATTAAATGCGCTGATTGCCGCTACGACACCAACTGGCTCTTTAAAAGTGCGTGCATGGTGGCCCTGGGTGAGGGGGGATATGCCCAGGGCAATGGTGCGGCCAACCTGCGCGCGAATGTGATCTGCACACATCTGCAGGCCTTCAGCTGCGCGCTTGGCCTCCACTTCCGCATCCTGCCGGGGCTTGGCGCCCTCCCGGGCAATCAATTCAGCAAATTCCGCAAAGCGTTCCTGCAGCAAATCTGATGCTCTGGACAATATATCGATGCGGGTTTGTACACTCATCCACTGCGAACGGTCTCGATAGAGGGCTTGTGCTTGAGCCAGCATATCCTGCAGATCTGCCTGACTTTGAGTTTGAATTTCGCTGATAACTTCTCCGCTGAAGGGGGAGACAACTTCAAGCATGGGTATTCCTTTGACTGTCAGAGATTTGAAATGTTTGGGTCGCTTTACCCGGCGACTCAATATAGCGTGTTGCCCTGTGAGTGTGCTAGAAACGCGCTTTGATAGAATATGTAAGTTCCCATTTGTCAGGTGAGTAGATGGACCCAATTTTTATAGCCGGGCTGGAACTGATGCTGATCGGTATGGGCACGGTGTTTGTGTTTCTGACGGTGCTCGTGGTCGCGACAAAATTCATGTCAGTACTTGTGCAACGATTCGGCCCGGTGCCGCAGGTCCTGGTGCCATCGTCGATAGCAGATGGAGCGGACCCTTCTGCTGAAGAAGTGGCCGCCATCACTGCAGCCCTCCACCAGCATCGTTTAAACAGAAACAGATAAACCAAGGAAGCTCATGAACAAAGCGCCCCTCGGCATCACCGATGTAATTTTACGTGATGCGCACCAGAGTCTGCTGGCTACGCGGATGCGTATCGACGACATGTTACCTATCGCCGCGAAACTCGACGCGGTGGGATTCTGGTCGCTGGAGTCATGGGGCGGCGCCACTTTTGATGCATGTATCCGCTATCTTGGCGAAGATCCTTGGGAGCGGATCCGGTTATTGAAACAAGCCATGCCCAACACACCCCAACAGATGTTATTGCGTGGGCAGAATATTCTCGGCTACCGTCATTACGCAGACGATGTTGTGACAAAGTTTGTTGAGCGGGCGGCGAAAAACGGCGTTGACGTATTCCGCATATTTGATGCGATGAACGATCCGCGCAATCTCCGCAAAGCCATCGAGGCTACTCTGGCAGTTAACAAGCACGCGCAAGGTACAATTTCTTATACAGTCAGTCCCGTCCATACCGTGGATTTGTGGGTAGACCTGGCGAAACAGATCGAGGATCTGGGTGCACACAGTCTGTGTATAAAAGACATGGCCGGTTTGTTAAGACCGATGGTTGCATACGATCTGGTATCAAGACTCAAAGCTGAGTTGGATATACCTGTACATATGCAGTGCCATGCCACTACAGGAATGTCGACAGCCACGTATCTGAAAGCAGTTGAAGCCGGCATCGATAACGTCGATACGGCAATTTCATCCATGAGTATGACCTATGGCCATACGGCAACGGAATCGATGGTGGCTATTCTTCAGGACACCGAACGCGATAGCGGTCTGGACATTACTTTGCTGGAAGAAATTTCGGCCTACTTCCGCAATGTGCGGAAAAAATATGCGAAGTTTGAAGGCAGTCTGCGCGGTGTCGATTCCCGCATTCTGGTCGCCCAGGTGCCTGGCGGGATGCTGACTAACCTGGAAAATCAGCTGCGCGAACAACAGGCTACCGATCGCCTTGATGAGGTTCTTACAGAAATTCCCAAAGTGCGCAAAGAGCTGGGTTACATCGCTCTGGTGACGCCTACCTCGCAAATAGTTGGCTCCCAGTCTGTCATCAATGTATTGATGGGGGAGCGCTACAAAAACATTACCGCAGAAACTGCCGGTGTTCTGAAAGGCGAATATGGCGCAACACCGGCGCCCCTGGATGCAGACCTGCAGAACAGAGTTCTGGATGGGGCTGCGCCTATTACCTGCCGTCCCGCAGATTTACTGTCTCCGGAACTCGAAACTCTTACGCTGGAACTGCAGAAGCATGCGGCCAACGAGGGTTTTGTCATGGCTCAGGACAGTATCGACGACGTGCTGACCTATGCACTGTTTCCACAGGTAGGCCTGAAATTCCTCAAAAACAGAGGCAATGCGGATGCGTTTGAGCCTGCTCCGGGCACTGAGAAAACTGTGGTCACATCTGCGCCTGCCCAGGCTCAGATCGCACAGGCAGGCCCAGCGGTTTACAACGTTCGGGTGAACAACAAAGCGTTTACCGTGGAAGTGTCAGCGTCTGGAGATGTCGCTACGGTCGCTGCCAGCGGACCGGTAGCGCCGCAAGCAGATGCTTCGGCCGCGGCTCAAGCCGTGCCGGCTGCACTGGCGGGCACAGTCGTCAAGGTTCTGGTCCAGGCAGGACAAACAGTCAGCCGGGGACAGCCCTTAGTGGTGTTGGAAGCCATGAAAATGGAGACGGACATCAGTGCGCCTGCTGATGGCGTTATCGGCGAGGTGCTGGTTGCAGCAGGTGACGCCGTGCTTGTGGGCACCCCATTGGTGACGTTGGCTTAGCCCAGGTGGAATTACTCACACAGCTCTGGCACGCCTCGGGTATCTATCAGATCAGCCCTGGCCAGCTGGTGATGATCGGCATCTGTCTGTTACTGCTCTATCTGGCCATCGCCAAGAAATTTGAGCCGCTGCTGCTGGTCACCATCGGATTTGGTGGTTTGCTGAGCAATATTCCCGGAGTCGACATCGCAACGGGTGATGGTTTGTTACATCTGGTGTACCTGGTGGGTATTGAAACCGGTGTATTTCCCCTGATCATCTTTATGGGTGTAGGCGCAATGACAGACTTTGGTCCATTGCTCGCTAACCCCAAGACACTTTTCCTCGGCGCCGCGGCACAGTTTGGTATTTTTGCAACGCTGCTGGGTGCTCTAGGTCTGACGTCTCTGGGTATTATGGATTTCAGTCTTCGGGAAGCGGCTGCGATTGGCATCATTGGTGGTGCAGATGGCCCGACAGCGATTTATGTTGCCGGTGCTCTGGCGCCTCATCTGTTAGGGGCGATAGCAGTAGCCGCATACTCCTACATGGCATTGGTACCCATTATCCAGCCACCGATCATGCGCGCGCTGACAACACAGGCAGAGCGTGAAATTGAAATGACCCAATTGAGGGAAGTATCGCAACTGGAAAAAATAGTTTTTCCTCTGTTGCTTCTGCTGCTGGTTGCTTTGCTGCTGCCGTCAGCAGCACCGTTACTGGGTATGTTTGCGTTTGGTAATCTCATGAAAGAATGTGGGGTGGTTGATCGTCTATCTGAAACCACGCAGAACGCGCTGATCAATGTGGTCACCATTTTTCTGGGACTGGCGGTGGGTTCCAAGCTGCAGGCGGACGTATTTCTGACCGCCAGTACGCTGGGTATTCTGCTACTGGGTATGGTCGCGTTTGGTGTGGGTACTGCCAGTGGTGTTCTTATGGCGAAGCTCATGAATCGCCTGAGCAGCACCCCGATAAACCCGCTCATCGGCGCCGCGGGTGTTTCTGCGGTGCCCATGGCCTCCCGGGTGGTGAACAAAGTGGGCCTGGAGGCGAACCCGCAGAATTTCTTATTGATGCATGCTATGGGTCCTAATGTGGCGGGTGTTATTGGTTCAGCCGTGGCTGCAGGCATCATGATTCTGTTTGCTTCAGCTCCTTAAAGTTCAAAAATTCATTGAGTTCAAAGGCTTAGCGTTCGCTCTTCGTAGTTTTTGCAGCTGGACGCTGCTAACATAGGTTTTCAGCTAGCCTGCCGGATCTTTTCACTTTGAACTTGCGACCGCATCTTTGTGCGTTTTTGTTCAGCTGCTTTTTTGCGGCATCTGCGTACGCAGAGACCCACTATTGGGTTTCTGTAGCCAGCTATAAAACGCAAAGCGAAGCGATGGCCAAACGCGAGACTGCAGAAAAAGTCGTTGGCCAACCTTTTGAAGTTTTAGGCTTTGTAACAGACAAAGGCTACTTCTATCGCCTGGTGAGTGGTCCTTATCTAACTCGTGAACTTGCTCAAGACCTCGCTGCTGTGGCATCCAGGAATGGGTTTACCGGTGCCTGGCACTGGTCAGAGAAGGATGCATCAACATCCGATGGGTTTGCTGCAGAATATTCTTCTGATATTTATGAAGTCGACAGCCAACCGGCTAATGATTCCCGTGCTGCGCCTCAAGAGCCGGCAACCGAGGGTGCAAAGCGCGGTGTTGTTGAAGAAGCACCCCAGGACTATCAGCTGCACAAGTTGCAGCGTGACGCGAGCCATCATGCTCCGGCCGTGCCAGCCATACCCGAGGGGCTGATGGGGTTTGTACCGGATGTTTTGCGACATAACCGGTTCGGGTCACCGGCTTTGCTATACGGTGCTGCCGGAGCTGCTTCACCCAGCGAGTCTCCACTTTCTGACTTAACCACCGAGCCGCCAAATCAGCTGTTACTGGCCAACCCAACTGGTGCGCCGATTACCCTGCCAAGTTATCGGGAAGCCGATATCGATATGCAGATTGATGGGGATCTGAACGAACCCGTCTGGCAGGCCTTTCCGGGTGTCGATTCGTTCCGTGTTGTGGATCCAGATACCGGAGAGCTACCACGACATGCCACGGTGGTGAAAATGTTCTACACCGAACGTGGTCTTTATGCCTCGTTCAAAATGGAACAGCCTCCTGAAACCCTGGTCAGAGTGTTTTCCAGCCGCGATGAAGGGCGTTTGAACAGGGATAACGTCGGTGTGACCCTCGATACTTCTGGAGAGGGCCGGTATGGCTATTGGGTGAATCTTGCCCTGGGTGGCAATCAGGTAGATGGTACCGTATTGCCTGAGCGTCAGTTCAGCCGCGATTGGGATGGTGCGTGGTATGGCGGTACCAAAGTCACAGCCAAGGGTTGGGATGCAGAGATATTCCTGCCCTGGTCTCAAGTTGCCATGCCCAAAGAAGCCGGACAACGCACGGTAAACGCCTATGCTTCACGTAAGGTGGCTTACATGGATGAGCGTTATGCCGTACCTGCTCTGCCTTTCACACAACCCTTATTTATGTCAGCACTCCAGCCTCTGCTTCTGGATCAGGTCGACCCCCAGCAGCAGTTCAGTTTTTTCCCTTATGTTTCTGTAACTCAGGATGAAGTTGAAGACTTCACGCAAACCAAGGCTGGCGCTGATATTTTCTGGCGGCCATCAACTAATCTGCAGCTGACAACGACATTGAATCCTGATTTTGGCAATGTCGAAAGTGATGATGTCGTTGTCAACCTGTCCGCATTTGAAGTTTTTTTTCCGGAGCGCCGACTGTTTTTTCAGGAAGGCACAGAAATATTTGATACCACCCCGCGGGCAAATGGCGATGAACCCACCACGGTGGTGAATACACGCCGTATCGGTGGCCAGGCGCGCGCACCTGATGTGCCTGATGATGTTGATGTGCCGTCTCAAGAGCTGGGTCAGCCGGTGGAGCTGATTGGTGCGCTTAAAGCGGTGGGTCAATTTGGTCAGGTCCGTTACGGGCTGCTGGCAGCTTCAGAAAATGAAGTGAAGTTTGACGTCGAAGAGATCAATTACTATCAGGATGGTAGCGACTACGGGATTGCACGTTTTCTTTATGAAGACAAAGCGCCTTCAGGTGCTTACCGAGCCGTTGGCGCGATTACAACTCTCGTGACACATCCTGAAGAAGATGCGTTGGTAAACGGCATTGACTACCACTACCTCACTGCGGGTGGAAAGTGGAAAGTGGATGGTCAATTTTTACACTCTGATACTGACGAAGAAGGTTCCGGCAACGGTGCTTTTGTCGATGTGGGTTATACGATTCGTCGGGGCCTTAATTTGAGATGGGGGCTGTCTCATTTTGACGACAAGTTTGAGCTCAATGATCTAGGGTTCACACGGCGTAACGATGCCACCAGCACAAACCTCCAGTTAGATTATGAAACTACGGATCTTCCCTGGTTCCGGAAGGCCCGAGCTGACAGTTTTATGCAGTACGAGGTTAACGGCGATGGGGAACGCACCCGTATCGGTATGGGTACCAACCTAGGTCTGGATCTGCGTAGTCAGGATCAGATTCGTGGCGGCATTGCTTACTTTCCAGCTCGAGCAGAAGATCGTAACAGTCGTGATAACGGCACTTTCGAGGTGGAAGGTCGGCACAACTTTTATGCTGATTATTTTACTGACACGGCTCAGCGCATCAGTTACCGGTTCGGTATGGAGCATGGTGGGGAAGAACTTGGTGGTAATCGCGTGGTAGGGCGGCTGGGTTTCACCTGGCGTCCTATCGATCAGATTAATGTAGGTGCCCTGGCGCAGTATCAACGTCGCCGCGGCTGGCTGCTTTGGCAGGAAGATCGGAATTTCACGACGTTCAACAGCACGGAATGGCGCCCACGGGTTAATCTGGATTATTTTTTAACCGCTAAACAGCAACTTCGGTTCTCTGCTCAATGGGTTGGTATTCGAGCCAAAGAGCAGGGGTTCTACCTGGTACCCGAGGAGGTAGGTGATCTGATTGAGGTTGAAAAACCTGATGAGGAAACGGATGATTTTGCGATCTCCCGGGTTAACGTGCAGCTGCGTTACCGTTGGGAAATAGCGCCGTTATCAGAATTGTCGGTGGTGTATACCTTGAGCGGTTCCCAGTCTGAAGAAACCGGAAGTTTTCAGGATCTTCTGAGAGATGCCTATGATGACCCTGTCGGTGAGCAGCTCATCATCAAGCTGCGTTATAGATTAGGCTCTTAAAACACAAGTAACTTACGTTTATCGCACAAACTCGCTACCCGACACCGGCATACTGAATGCTGAGAATCACGTAATACGGGAGATCAGCAGTGCATAAATGCCCTTTTCATGAACAGAGTAGCGGTGCCGTCGAAGGCGGAGAAATTAATTCCATACACTGTCCGGACTGCGGTGATTACCGCATCTCCGAGGTTGCTCTGCAGCAGATAGCCAATCTATCCAAGCCACCTCAAGGATGGCCGGAAGTGGTCGCTCGGGGTCAGCTGATCTCGACGCGCATAACGCGAGAGTTATTCGCGTGACCTAGAGGGCCGGTCGCCTGACGACTGGCATGGAAAATTCCGCTTCGATTGAATACTCTGCCTGGCCAGTCAGCCAGTAGTTTGTGTTCCATGCAATATAGAACCGCCACCCAATGGGGTGTCTTTGATGTCACCGTCTCTGATGGTGTCATTCAACGTGTAGACGGTATTCAACAAGACCCTGATCCCGCCGCCATCGGGCAGACCCTGCTTGATGGCGTCCAACACGCTTCCCGGATTCAACGACCTGCTATTCGTAAAGGCTGGCTCGCAGCTGCCCATCGAAACCGCAAACTGCGCGGCAACGACAGCTTTGTTGATGTCCCCTGGGACGAAGCGCTGGATATGGCTGCGCAGGAAATCGCGCGGGTGATTGCGGAAAAAGGCAACAAGTCGATATACGCTGGATCTTATGGTTGGGCAAGCGCAGGGCGCTTTCACCATGCGCAATCTCAATTGCACAAGTTCATTAATCTGCTGGGTGGTTCAACCCGGGCGATGAATTCCTACAGCACCGCAGCGGCCCAGGTCATTCTGCCTCACGTGGTTGCGCCCTGGTCTGAAATTGAACTGCAGCAAACCAGTTGGGACGAGATAGCTCAGGGCGCCGAACTGATGGTCGCCTTTGGCGGCATACCGTTGCGTAACACACAGGTGGCTTACGGTGGGATCACAGAACATCAGAGTCAGGGCGGCCTGCGCGGTGCGTTGGCGGCAGGCACCAAACTGGTGAACGTCTCTCCGGTATCTCATGACATGCCCGCGTGGTCGCAAGCGCAGTGGGTGGCAGCCCGTCCAGGTACTGATGTTGCGCTGATGTTAGGTCTGGCTTACGTGCTGGAAGCGGAAAACCTGCTTGATCGAACATTTCTTGAGAGCCATTGCCACGGCTATGCAACATTCTGTCGATACCTTCTGGGCGAAGCAGATGGCATCGCAAAATCCCCAGCATGGGCGGCGCAGATTTGTGGTGTGGACGCAGGGGTTATTGAGCAGCTTGCGCGGGAAATGGCGCATAAAAAAACGTTTATTACCGCGGCCTGGTCTCTGCAGCGGGCCCATCATGGCGAACAACCTTACTGGATGCTGGTGGTGTTGGCTGCCATGTTAGGTCAGATTGGCCTGCCAGGCTGTGGGTTCGGATTTGGTTATGGCGCTGAAGGGTTTATCGGATCCAGCTGGCGACGATTCAATTGGGCAACGTTCAGTAAAGGCATGAATCCCACGCGTTTTGCGATACCTGTTGCGCGCATTACGGACATGTTGCTGAATCCGGGTGCTGATGTGGATTACGATGGGCGCAAGATCACCTACCCGGAGATTGATCTGATCTACTGGGCAGGTGGTAATCCATTCCATCATCATCAGGATCTTAACCGTCTTGTTGAGGGCTGGCGCAAACCCAGTACGGTGATTGTGAACGAGCCTTGGTGGACACCAACGGCGCAGTGGGCGGATATCGTATTCCCGGCGACCACCGCACTTGAACGCGAGGACATCTGTGCTTCAAGTCATGACCCCTACGCGCATGCCATGCAGCAGGCATTGCCTGTGCAGCATGACGCCTGTTCGGACCACGAAATATTTGCAGGGCTTGCGGCTCGGCTCGACGTTGGGGAGGCGTTCGTGGAAGGGCGGAACGAGCAGGACTGGTTGCGCCATATGTGGGAAAAGTCTGCCGACAAGGCGCGCACGGAAGGGTTTGAACTACCTGAGTTCGATGCGTTCTGGCGCAACAGGATCTATAAGATTCCTGAGCAGTCCGCACGCAAAACCTGGCTCGCAGATTTTCGAGCTGATCCGCTTAACAATCCGCTGAACACGCCCAGTGGCAAACTCGAAATCTTTTCAGATGCCATTGCTGGGTTTGATTATGACGACTGTCCCGGCCACCCAACCTGGCTGGAACCCTTTGAGCGACTAGGTGGGCATAACTCGGAAAAATATAAATTGCACCTGCTGACGCCGCAGCCGGAAAAGAGATTGCACAGTCAGATGGATCCCAGTGCACATAGTCACAGCGGCAAGGTTGCTGGTAAAGAAGTGCTGCTCATGCATTCCACTACCGCTGCGGCTCGAAACATTCGGCAAGGCGATATCGTGCGCATTTATAATGACCGGGGTGCCTGTCTGGCGGCGGTTGGTTTCGATGACAACCGACTGGCTGATGTTGTTTCCCTGCCGACAGGTAGCTGGTTTAAACGTCTGGATGACTTTACGGATGCAAATGGTAATCCTAACGTGTTGACCGCCGATGTAGGCACTTCAAAACTTGCTCAAGGGCCCAGTGCCAACACGTGTTTGGTTGAAGTTGAAGCCTACACACCCTAAGGTTCGCGCTGCTGGCCTCGTAGTTCAATGGATAGAACGACCGCCTCCTAAGCGGTAGATGCAGGTTCGATTCCTGCCGGGGCTACCAAACGCACAATCGCTCAGGGCTAGTCAATACTCTGATTAGACCGATGGTAGCGCACCACAATATCTGGATCTGGTGCCAGGGTGGTACCGGCATTGTCTTTGCCTTCGTAATTCAGTACGGACAGTGCGTAACGCATACTTTCCAGCCGAGCTTCTTTCTTGATGTTGGCTTTGACGATGATCCAGGGGCTGTAGGACGTGTGGGTTCTGCTGAACATCTCTTCTTTATACTTCGTGTAAAGATCCCAGTGAGCCTGAGCCTGTTCGTCCACAGGGCTGATTTTCCATTGTTTCAGAGGGTTCACACGACGGGACTGGAAGCGCTCTTCCTGTACGTCTTTTGAGATTGAGAACCAGAATTTGATCAATTCCACGCCATCTTCATAGAGCATATGCTCATATTCAGGGACCTGTTGCATGAAGCCGCGGTGCTGCTGCTCCGTGCAGAAATTCATGACGGGTTCGACAACCGCGCGGTTGTACCAGCTGCGGTCAAAGAATGCGATTTCACCCGGGTTAGGCAGCTGTTCGGTATAACGCTGAAAATACCATTGCCCCTTTTCCACTTCGGTAGGTTTCGGCAACGCGACCACACGGGCGCTACGCGGATTCATGTGTTCAATGAAGCGACGAATCGTGCCACCTTTTCCAGCTGCGTCTCGACCTTCTACAATGATCGCAACCCGACGCCCCTCCAACTGCACCGAGCGTTGCAGTTTGACAAGTTCGATCTGAAGCTTTTCCAGTTCGCGCTCATATTGAAGCGTTGCCAGGGCTTTGGAGACATCGATATTTTTAGTCGATAAAAGCTGCAGGAGGCCCTTCTTGGTATTGACTGCTGCCAGCTCTTCTTCTGTAAGGCTAACATTTTCTTTAAGCGTTTTTCCGAGAAGGTTTTCTTCCCTCTCGATCTTGTCCTTTTCTTCCGCAGTTCGGATGACTGGCTTCCGTTTTGTTTGTGTGCGAGAGGGGGCGGGGGCTGGAGAGGGTGTGGGTTCGACTACAGATGATTCACGACTACTCACGAGCGGCGTTCCTAGGTTATAAACTTTGGGCCGCAGCACTGCGACAATGATTTTGAGATGCCAACTCGTTGGAAATGCACATGAATATCCGTGAAATCCCTTAGTCAGGTGTTTTTTGTGGTGATGAGCTTCGACGTGCGTTGAAAGAGGTTGTCCCCCTGCTTCTGCATGGCGCAACCTGGAATTTTGCTAATATGTAACCCTGCTATTCAATCAAAGGGTGACAATGAATAATCTGATGACGCGCTATTGCCTCGTATTCAGTATGGCTGTTGTAAGTCTGTCAGGGTCAAGTTTCGCCACGGCAGAACCCTCACTGTCACCGCCGGATGAGCCGCTCATCGACCTATCCACGGTTCAGTGGATGCACGGGCATCAGGACTGCGATTCAACTCGATTGGCGACAAACTATGTGGAATGGCAAGTCATTCGGTATCGAAATGACACATACATATTTCGACAGAATAAATGCTCAAATTACGAGGCGCCGTTTGTATATTTGTTTGTGGGTGCACAACGGGCGCTTTTAATCGATAGCGGTGCAACGGCTGCTGGCGGATCAAGTTTGGTTGATGCAATCCGCGCAATTACAACTCTTCCTGTCGTTGTGGCTCATTCCCACGGGCACGGAGATCATCATGCCGGCGACGCTGCTATGCAGGCTGCGGAAGGCTTTACTGTGGTCGGCACGGGGCCCACGGCAGTGCAGAGTTTTTTCAAATTTGAGGGTTGGCCTCGAAACGCGGTCAAGCTGGAGCTGGGTGGTAGAAACATCGAACTGCTGCCAATTCCTGGCCATCATGATGATGACATAGCCTTCTATGACCCACGCTCCAGGTTTGTAGTGACAGGCGACACCCTATATCCAGGGCGTCTGTATATCGGCGACTGGGCAGCGTATCGGGCGAGCATCACGCGGTTGATGCAATGGGTTGCAAGCCACGAGGTCACGTATGTGATGGGCACCCATATTGAGATGAGTAATACACCCAATGTTGACTATCCAATTGGTACAACGTTTCAGCCTGATGAAATCTCTCTGCCTCTGGGTGTATCGGATATCGAGAAGCTCGAAGCAACGATCGCTGACATGGACAAACCCCGACGTACCTACTTGGAGCGCTTCATTCTGTGGCCAAAGGACTGAGATGTTTAGCGCAGCCGGGTTACCAATTCCGTGACTGCATCGATCACGATCTGTGGCTGCTCCAACTGAATGACGTGGCCACTTTCCCTGGCGATATGCCGCTGCCCGGCAGTTGAGAGCCTGGTCAGTTCCGTTTGTAGTTCATCCCAGATTGTCGCCATTTCGCGCGCTTGTTTGATCGGTAAGCCAAATTCGTTGTCAGCGGCTGGCGTTTTACCCTGAGACAGTACTACCAGAGGTAGAGTGCCGAGTGACCTTGGAGGGTCGGTATCAAAAATTTCGCGGTTGAACCCCTCGGACTCTCTTAACATGGCTGCGCACGTGTGGTTCTGATTGACGGTTGCCGTCAACAGTTGCCGTTGTGGTTCAGGCAACTCGTAGCGCTCAAGCAGGCCGTCCATCACGCCGAGTGCGCGCACGATCCCCAGAGGTTGCACCCAGCTGCACAACGTCAGCATTGTGCTTAACTGTGAAGTGCCGCCGATACTGGGCAGCCGATTACCCTGTTGTTCATGAGAGGAGTCCACCAGCACCATGCCAACAACCTGCTCCGGGTAGCGCGTGTAGTATTCACGGACAAAAACACCGCCTGCAGACATGCCCAGTAAAATTATTGGGCCATCCAGTTTGGCCACGTTAAGCAAGGTATGGAGGCGCTCAGCAACACGTTCGGCACTCAGTGGTACACGGGTTTGTTCACTCCAGTCTATGCCGGGTCTGTCGTAGGCACACACGCGGGTCTGTTGTGCGAGGGCATCGTGCACCAGGCCCCATGAGGTGGAGCCAAATGTAAGACCGGCTTCGAGAATAACCGCGGGCGTACCCTGGCCTCGACAGTCCATGTGAATATTTAGACCATCAACTGAATGCATTACTCCCGGTGGTGGGAAGTTTTTGCTATCTGCTCCAGCAGAAAACCATTGATACACAACGCCTGCGATGATCATAACCACCAGCAGTACAAGTGCGTACTTTAATGCCTGGACAATTGTGTTCATGATCTTAGACTCTAGGCTTTTATTTGTTGAGCATAACGGGTTTGTCAGGGTTGCGTCATGGTCCTTCTTAAAGATGTTCTAGTTGGCATACCTGCTGTAAATGCACAACAGTGGGAGCCACTGGGAGGGTTCACAAAGTGGCTGATAGCTTGTCGTGCATCGGTGTTGCCGCTGACAATCTTTGCCGTCACTTTTGCCCTGTGTCTAGCGCCGCCAAACTCTATACAACAATGGATTCTCGCTGGTGCAAGCGGGCTGGCTCTAACCCTCGCTCATGCCACCAATAATCTGATCAATGATTATGTCGACCATAAAACCGGGGTCGATAGTGATAACTATTTTCGTGTGCAATACGGCGTGCATATTCTCGAAAGCGGCCTGGTTACAAGCGGGCACTACCTTCGCTACATTGTTTTTACCGGCGCCTTTGCATTGGTGCTTGCCGTTGTTATCTGCTGGTATGCGGGTGGCCTGACCCCCTGGTTTGCATTGAGTGGAGCGTTCTTCGTTCTGTTTTACACCTATCCCTTGAAACGTATTGCTCTGGGTGAACTCGCGGTTTTTCTGGTCTGGGGTCCGTTGATGGTTATTGGCACCTATCTTGTTGTGCATGGCCATTTTGGACTCGACGTTGTTTTCGCCAGCATCGTCTATGGCCTGGGTCCAACAGTGGTGATCCTGGCGAAACATACGGACAAAGCACGTCATGACCGGGAAAAGAAGATATGGACATTTCCGGTGGTCCTTGGATCCTGGGCCAGGCAAATTGTGGCGATAGCCGTTGTGGCTCAATTAGTCCTGGCGATTGTGGTGGGCATAGAGTTTGCCCTTTATGGTCTGGCTGGCATTGTGCTGGCTGTTCCTGCCGGGTTTCGTTGTCTGAAAGTATTGCAGGAAACAACGCCAGCTGAGCGCCCAGCCGATTATCCTGCGCAGGCCTGGCCGCTGTGGTACACCACGTTTGCTTTCCGCTATGCGCGCGATGCCGGACTGGGATTAACCCTGGGCGTTGTCCTGCAGAATGTGCTCATGTGAAGTCACATCGCACCTGAATCAACTCAACCAATGCGATAGCGTCGTGCCCTTGATTAGTCAGGCTGACGTACTTACCCAGAAACTGCTCATGCCGCGAAAGCTTGGAATGCTGTGATACACAAAACCTCTGGGGCTGTGGTGTAAGTCAGGGAAGCGTCTGATCAATGCTGAAATGGCTTCTTGAGCTTCGAGTCGAGCCAGATGTGCACCCAGGCAGAGGTGTCTTCCACCGCCGAAAGACTGGTGATGGGTATCTTCACGACTGACATTGAAGATTGCGGGTTCCGGGTAAATTTCAGGGTCATGGTTTGCACCCGCCAGTACCGTGCTGAGAGACTCACCTTTTTTGACGGGACAGCCGCCGATCTCTATGTCCCGGTTTGCGATACGGCCTGAATTGACCACCGGCGAGTCGTAGCGCAGCATTTCCTCTACCGCATTGGCAATCAAACCTGGGTCCTCTTTCAGCTTCTGCCATTCATCAGGGTTGTCCAGTAACGCCTTTACACCATTACCAATCAGGTCGGTGGTTGTGACGTTGCCGGCAATCAGCAGCAGGTTAGCCTGGGTAATCATTTCTTTAACGGTAAGTGTGTCTCCGTCGAGCTCTGCGCGAATCATGTCTGAGATCAGGTCGTTGCCAGGCTCTTGTCTGCGTGCTGCAATTTCAGCTTCGAAAAACGTGAACAGATTGTGATTGGCCTCGTCACGGAGTTTGATTTGTTCCTCGGTTGGAAAAGGGTTGAAGCTGGCTGCGACAGCCTGATCTGACCATGTTTTGAAGGCGGTGTGTTTACTGGCTTCAATGCCTAACATTTCCGCAATCACCACGGTAGGGACGGGCCCCGCAAAATCTGCAATCAGATCAAACTCATCGCCTTGGATCCTGTCGAGAATGTGTTCGACGATGGTTCGCGTTCGCTCACGCCACTTTTCAACAGCGCCCGGGGTAAACGAGCTGCTGACCAGTGAACGCAAACGCCGGTGATCAGGTTCGTCCATGAGTAACATGGAAGGTTCTTCGTCTTCAGCGATGCCGTTGCCGAGGAATTCTCGGGTAAATGTGCCGGGGTTTGCTTTGCGTGGATCGCTCCACATATCCGCATCGCGCAGAATCTGTTTCACATCATCGTGGCGGGTGTAGATAAAACGACCCAGTTGACTGTCTTCGTGGACCGGCGCTTCGCTGCGCAGTCGTGCAAATATGCGATAAGGATCTGCGCGAAATTTTTCGTCTAAAGGCGTGAGTTCGATGCCCTGGGGGAGTGGACTGTCAGTCATAGTGTGATGCCTGTTATCGGTTGTTTGATTCAGCCTGCAGCTTTCTTTTTCATCCGCCGAAGGGCATTCTATGACCTTAAATGAAGGAAAAATCCATGGCAATGCCTACTGTTCAGATTGTGCCTGAGGCAAAGCAGCAAACCAGTCTGCAAACCCTGTCTCTGGCGTTTGCCGGCGATCCGTTTATGCGCTGGATGTTCCCCAACGCCGAGCAGTACCTTACCTATTTTCCGCAAATGGTCAGCCGCATGGCCGGCAGCGCATTTGGCCATGGCAGTGCACTCAGCACAGAACTGTATGAAGGTGCAGCCCTTTGGCTACCCCCGGGTGAGGCGCCAGAGGAAGAAGAGACGGTCAACCTGATGGTCGAAGCGCTGTCGCCAGATAGACTTGAGGCCATAGGTGAAGTTTTGGGAAAAATGGAATCGTTTCACCCGAAAGATGATGACTGTTGGTATCTGGCGTTTATCGGCGTGGATCCTGGGCATCAGAATAAAGGGTTGGGCTCTGCTCTTATGAAACACATGACGGCCAAACTGGATGAAGCTAATTGTCTCGGTTATCTCGAGTCTTCTAACCCAATGAATGTCTCTTTGTATCAGCGGCATGGGTTCGAAATTGTGGGAGAAATTCAGGCCGCTGATTCTCCCTCTATATTGCCTATGATCAGACCCAGGCAGAGTTAATACCCTTTCAGGTGGCAAAGTCACGCGACAAAAAATATTCGTTTGACAAGGGTTCTGGTTTGCCGTAGATTCGCGATCAGTAGATTCCTGCCCGATGTTCTTTTTCGAGTTTTCTCTCTTAGTTTATCGATTCGCTTCTATGACGTTCACAGGACAAGGTGTTTTGTGACGATTACTTTTGTGCGCAGCAGATTGAGCGGGTGTGCACATCCTAAAAACCTGGAAATCCAGGTACGGAGAAAATATGAAATTGTATGTAGGCAACCTTCCTTGGAGCACTACCGATTCTGACCTCGAAAGCATGTTTGGTGAGTACGGTGCTGTTCAATCAGCGTCTGTTATCACTGATCGCGAAACTGGTCGCTCACGCGGTTTTGGTTTCGTTGAAATGGGTGACGGAGAAGAGTGCAAACGCGCGATGAACGAACTCAACGGTCATCAGATCGAGTCACGCGCGTTAAAGGTCAATGAAGCTAATGACAAGCCAAAGCGATCTTCTAACTACTAAGATTAGTAGCTAGTCTTAAAAACCCGCCGTCAGGCGGGTTTTTTTTATCTCGATTTTCTTGACTGTAAAAATATGTCCATTATTCTAGACATATGGACATTAAAACTGCTCTGCGTGTATTCGACACATTGTCACAGGAAACCCGATTAAAGGCGTACCGGCGTTTGGTTCAGGCAGGGCCTGCAGGTCTTGCTGCGGGTGTGCTGAGTGATGCGCTGCAGATTCCGCACAACACGCTGTCATTTCATTTGAGTCATCTTGCTAATGCCGGTCTGGTGGAATCAACCAGGCAGGGACGTTCTGTCATATATACTGCCAATTTTGACGTTACCAGAGACTTCATCGCTTTCCTGGTAAAAGATTGTTGCTCTTCAGATTTGGCCACGATCCGCGAAGACAGCGTCAAAGGGTGTTCCATTATCGAACTGGCAGACTGTTGTTAGGCGTCATGGGAACTGATACGCCATGAAAAAAGTGTTAGTTCTCTGCACC